CCCAATTGTTTGGCACACATTTGCAGTGTGGTGCTAAGAGTGGCAAGGCTCACAGACGATGCCGACCACGACGCCAGCGAAACGTCTGGGAATGTACCAAGTCCACGACCATACTCTGAAAATGATGATGCATACTATGGATTCCGGCCAAGGTGCGCACCTCTAGGTCTTTATGCCAATATCGCCAAGTTTAAACAAACTCTATTCAATCAAAGTAGACCACCCCATCTTGGTCTTCATACTTTCTACCGAAAAAGTGCTTTGTCACATATCTTTCTGTCCTGGTACATCTTCTACCGACCCGCTATTCCCGTAGCTCACTCCCTGGCTATCACATCGTCTAACCTATTCATCTTGAACTTTGGGACAAGGTCCCAAGTCCATGAACCGACACAGGAAATAATCATTACCATTATGTCAGATAAGTTCCGGCAAGCACGCTTCAATGTAAAATGCCGATGGCCTGAAAAACCCTGTGTTTGGAACCCATGTAGTCCGTGACATGAGTTCGGAACCCATGAAAGCAGTTGTTCCTTCGCCATCTTCCAGACACTGGATTTGACCGAGCAGCGACCTTCGTGGCGAGGCAGTGTGGCAGCAGTGACTCTTGCTATGCGACTCGCCAAGGCTATCTTCAAGTTCATACCATTCTTCAAGTCGAGAACGAGTGTTTGGCTGTCCTGACGACCAGATCGCCAAACACTGGCCTGTTAAGATATACAAGAATGGTATAACAAATGTGTTCATTACATTTCTTTTTAGATGATGAAGGACTCATAATTGAATTTTTCCACAATGATATGAGTAGACCTAATGCTTCCATTTAATTTCACATAGTCCATCCATGGGCTGCAGTTTCCACTTCGCCTAGGTCTTATCAACACCTCTAAAGGACTCGAACCCGGGTTGTATAATCTCGACATGTTGCCAACTGCACCACACTGTCACGACTGTCCTTAGGTCACAGGGCCAGAAGTTTCCCATACCATATTCTTAAACGAAATATGGTGAACATATATAATATATTTGATATAATGATAGTCTTAAAAAGCCACTTATAAACGAAAAAATATTTAATGTAGTCAATTATTAAGAATATACCATGTCACTAGTCCAATGTTGTAAATCACAAATACTATGA